ACCAGTATTCATTGTTACTATCAGCCACAGATGAATGAATGAGGGAAGTGTGGTATATACACAATGGACTTTTATTCAGTTGTAAAGAAAGATAACATTACCAGGAAAATGAAAGAAACTGGAAATTATTCGGTAAACAAAGTTATAAAACCCAGAAAGATAAATATGTGTCTGTGTGTGAAGGTGTCGACCATAAAACTAGAAAGGGGGCCAGGAAAGGGGAAAAGGAGGTCTTAAGATAGGGTTGGGGAGGAGACTAGGATACACAGAACATGAATCTGGAAAAGAAGCTAGTGGGGGAGAAAGAGGACTAGCCAGAAGAGGACCTGGGGACAAGGAAAGGCTGGGAAAGAGAACACCAAAGACAAAGAATGAAAATAGCATGTTGAAGCCCATTACTTTGTATGCTAATCAAAATACTAATAACTAAACAAACAAGAGCCATGCAGTATCTGGTCTAGGTTTCTGGATCTGCATTTATATAAGAAGAAAGGAAGTGTAGATGTGAGCAAAACACTTGGCTGGTGACAGAGGGTCTGGTTAGGAATACAGAAGTAACTTGGTGGCTCTCAGCATGTTGTCTCCAAGGCCAGGCTGCTGCTGCGACATTAACTAAGGCTCCTGTTGGGTATTATCAGCCTCTACACCCTTTGCTTTACTTAGTAAGTGGTCTTGTCTGTCTCTTTCACTCCTACTTGCCACCTTCTTAATTAATTGGGAGATGTGACTGATCAGTAACGACTCAAAGTGGAAATATAGGTGGACTCAGTTCCTGCAGTACATCTCCACCTCATGGAACTTCTGTGACATGCTTCACACATCCTACCTTCATTTTCTACCATTTTTAACTTCGTGGGGTCTTTTGCCCACAAAAGAGTTGTCTAATAGTTACTACACATTAACGGGAGTTGCTAAAAATGATGAAATTCATTTATTATGCTGGGGATAGAGTTTTGTCTTTCAAAGGGAGTATTTATTTGGAATTATATGAAATACCTAAAAGATAGAGTGCTACTACAATTTTAGGCAATAAATACTTCTGATATGAAGTCTTGAGGAGTCCAGGAATTCTGTTTTCTCCTCTATCTATGTATTGCATTTGCCAAATACTGAGTTCTCAGTAAATATTACATAAACACACTAGTTAATTCCTAGTGATGAGATAATCAAAGCCTCTAGTCTTCTCCCTTTTTTGTGGCGATGTGTGGGTGACTATGGACCAGAGCAATGGTAGCCTTCAAAAGAGACATACAAGCGTAGTGCTCCAGATTTGGAAAGGCATTTTCTGTGCTGATTTGAAACTTGGCTCTGGCTGTAGTTTATCTGTCACAGATTGGGGAGGAGGGAGGAGAATTATCCCACAGGGAAATCAGGGCCCACTAACATAGCAACTGAATACATCCGTGGCTGGGCTAGGAGTCATTGCTATTTTGGTCACTTCCAGATGTCTGCTGCTGTAGTTTCAAGGGAAGGAGAAAGACATGTGGCATGCCCACTGCACGGCAGGGGAGGTTATTTCTCTTATAGAACTATCAACTCATGTTTAACCATCGATATACTCCTTAGATGGATTTAATAAAGCTTTTGAAACTAAAATTGAATTTATTAATGCCCATTTATACACTTGATTGCATGTGTAGCAATAGGTGAATGTAAGAGAGTCTGTGAATAATCAGCACCCCTCCACACACACACATATGAGCATCTAAGAAGACTCTCCCCTACTTTGGTAGAATCTACAATTTATGAAGTGCCAGCTTTGAACATATGTTGAATAGGACAGGCACTAGATGAGCCAGCTGCCTCTAGTAACTATTGTGCCTACCTAGCCAGATGCTCTCCATGGTCTACGTTTTCTTCTCATGCTATTTTCAGGGCATCTTCTTTACTCTCATATTTGTGATTATGAGTCATAAAAGATGTTAGGCTGTAATATTTATGGACATAGGAATGAAACTCTATGAAACCTTTAAAAGAAAACATGTACAAGATCTTTTCAAAGAGTCCCAGCCAACACCACGGATCATCTCCTGTTAGACTGGTAGCATGTCTTGTTTCTGTCTTTCCTTGGGAAGATATGATACTAACATGCTTCACATCTTGGGAGACAAAGAAAGTACAAGGAGAAGTGGATAGCTCAGTATTCACATGCATGGGATTTGTGCCAAAGCTATCTCATGTTCTGAGTCTGTCATATACTAGCTGTGGGAACTTGGGCAATAACCTAACTTCTTTAAGGCTGAGTTTGTTTACCTGAAAAGTAAACATCAGGGTAGCGGCTACTGAATATTCATATGTGTTAGTTGAGGGACAATGTTGTGGTAAATGACTCCTTCATTATCCAACCAAGTTGTGAGCTAGCCAGAGGAAAAAATAAGCTTAAGCCAGATGTGAAAAATGTAGTATCTTTTATGAAAAAGTAGGTTTCACAGCCAGACCTTGTGCTAGGACAGGTGTCCATTTGCCTGGACAGACAAAGCCAGTATGTGCTCCCAGAAGGGAAGGATGACATTCCCTTTTATCATGTGGGCTCTACCCTCAGACTTGTTTCTGCTCCTTGGGCTGCAGTGAGGAACTTGAGAATGGTTGGGAATGTTATACTCAGAGAACTTCTACTTATGAAAGAAACATTAGGGTGAGGAAAAATGACTGATAACTTCCCAGGGCTCACTAGACGGCCCTGTGAGATGAAATAAGGGAGTCCAAGTGCTACTAAATTATCAACAAAATATATTAGCTGATATTGTTACTTTGGTATTACTGTATGCCAGGGCTGCAGTAAAGAAATGCATAAGGGCCAGTTGCTAAAAGAAGTCAATGGTATGGGAAATGGTATGTGTTGTCCCACACTTATAAAAAAATAAGCAGTTGAGGATGTAACCTTTAAACTGAACCAGAGGTCAAGTGTCTGGACTTAGCAGATTCTCTTCTTATTGTCCTGACACAAGGAAACCAGCATGGAGGCTCAGAACAGGATATAGGAGACTTCAACTAGTTGAATGTGAAACAACATGGCATGCAAATGGGAGCCAGGCACTCTTACCAGGGCATGGTCTCTTGAGATGAAGAGTTCTGCATCTTCAGCACTTTGCCCATTCACCCTATTTGGTTTCTTATTGGATAAGATTAGCCTACTTGCTCCCTATGGAAGTTTATGCCAATTATTTAGGTTCAAAAATTTATTTGTGTTTATTGGTCAGGGTTTGCCAGATAAATAACCAATAGCTAATATATATAGTAATAGAAATAATTCACACTTAAATTTGTTATATATAAATCTTTATATGTTATACATAATTTAAAATTAATAGAATATTATAATATACTCCTACAGAGTATACATGAAGATAATCATTTTAAGAATTTGACCCACAATTATCAAGGCTGAGACATCCCATAATCCTCTATCTCTAAGCTAGAGACCTCTGAAGTGTGTAGGTAATTAAGTCCAACTACCATGAGCACCTGGACACTGGTGGTGTGAGTTGCAGTCTGAGGGCAGGAGGTAATGAAAAATGTGGCCCAGCCAAAGCATTGCAACAGTAAATGCAGGGGGGTACATCCCCTCTGTCCATTATTCTACTCAGGCTCTCATGGGATGGCATGCTCCGATGCTGGAAACAGCGGTTTGCTTTACAGAGTTCACCTACACCGATGCTAATCTCATCAGAAACATCGTTGACACCCAGAAACTTTAAAACGGGATTTCTGGGGACTTAATCATCACAGATTGGCTTCATTTCTTAAGATAAAGGATGAAAGTGCAGCCCTAGGTGGTACAGTGGGGCTAAGCACATGGTTATTTGGCTACAGTCCTCACCTGCCATTTTGGCCTGGTTAGAGCCACAAGCTCATTTGATATTTGTGTGTGTGTAAAAATTTTATTTCCTGCTGATTCTTATGGTATTAAAAATAAAATTTGAAAGAAGTAATTTTTCAGATCCCACTAACATCATGTGTGAGTTAGGCATGACTTTTTTTTAAGGTCAATTTTCTCAGTTCCTTCTCTTCATTCTCTTTCTAGGACTTGCTAGCTGTGGCACTTTCCCTTGTCCCTCTCTATATGGCCCTACCTCCATTCCCTCCTTCTTCACTGGTAGGGCTTATAGTCCTCCCACTGGTTGATGTAAATGACATTAAAGACAGCTAACTGGCTTGTGTAAGAGTTTCAAAAGTAACTCACCTGATTTCAAGAAGGTACCCCCAAACTGTCCAATTATTTAACAAAGTAAAATGATTATTTAAGCAACTCCCAAAGAGAAGGCAGACAGGAGCTCGGGAGTGGATGTATAATACGATGTCATGGACATAGTGCTTCAAGGTTGAAAGTGAAAGTATGAGAGAGAAAGGTGATGGGAGAGAAAGTAGCATCAGGATACTGCAACATGCTGTGTGCAATGAGGGGGCTTGTCTGGTGGCTTTGGGGGATGGTGACTCTTACCCAGGCAGATAATTTTGGGGTAAGATGTAGTGCACAGATGAACATGGCTGTTATGAGGGAATGCTGTCAGTCTGCCTGAAGGAATCTCATTGCTTCCAATATCATCTCACCTGCTTATTTTTGTTAAGAGGTATCTGAGACACAACTCTATTGTTAAGGAGAACAGATCTAAATGACAGGAAACAGACACCCAGTGCAATATTTTAAGGAGGCACACTCCAGAGATCTCCTACATGTGTATTATTCTAATTCTTTAAATGATACCATGAAATTTGTTTTGATGTTTAACTCAATGGACCTTTCACAGTAATAGCTGCACATTGGAGCAAGCCACTACTTGGTTAAAATTTTGTCTATTTAGAAGTCACTGAATTTCAGATAGCTGTCAATCAATATGACAGCTGGAACATTAACTCTATGGAACAAAACAGTAAGGCTCATGTCAGTCTGTGACCTAAATGGAAATTAATGTCATTCTGTTCTTTTTAAAGTCCATCTTCTCATTTGTGTTGCTCTTCACAACATCTGCTAAGTAAGTGGCTTTGTTGTTGGATTTTAGGGTCTGGCACAGTACTCTGTCCTCTTTTATGGCTACTACGATAATAAACGCACGATTGGATGGCTGAATTTCCGGCTACCTCTCTCGTACTTCCTGGTGGGGATTATGTGCATTGGATACAGCTTTCTGGTTGTCCTCAAAGCGTAAGTTTTTAATCTGATTTCTGGAATCAATCAGAATCATTTTGAGAACTGGATATAATACTGATACTATTTCATGTCTAGAGAATAGTATGTGTGTAAGACATGAATCTGTACTGATGTTAAACTGTTCCATCCTAAAAACAAAAGAGTTTGACATAAACACAGGCCTTTGGAGCACTCCTCAGGGTTGGAAGGTGCCAACATGCCGGGTTGGGAATATAGTCAGTGGTGGAATACTTATATATCATGTGCAAGGCCCTGGGTTCATGGTATCATGTCACCTTGCCTGTACTTCAGTATCCTCATACAAAAAATAGGGGAAAATATCTATTTTAAATTATCAGGTTGAAAAATGAGAAAGTAAAATAAAATAAACTACTTTGAACATTCCAGGTAGAAGGTCTTTGTTTGGTTAGTCCAGGACTCTCCCAGTTTTAGGTCTGAAAGTCATGGGAGTTCCTGGTAAATGGATGGCTGGTCGCCTTAACTTTTAAGTGTTTTCCTTTCTTCTCCCTCTTCAAAGCTCTGGAATCCTGATACTAAATGCAATGCCCAAGTTTTGAAGGCAGGCTAGAACAGTTGAACATTGTAATGTTGGTGGCTTGGAAATCATCAGTTTCTTCTTAGCGTTTGAAGTTAATAATCTCAAAATAAAAGTGATTTGTTTCCCAAATGTAGCTGTTCTCATCCAAAGCAACTCCATAAGCTAAAAAGTCTGGATATTACTGGCATACTTCACATCTATCAGGCTTCTGGAAAGAGCTGAATAATTCACTGAATGTATGCCTAATGAGGAGCTTATTAATGCCACCCTATCCCAGGAGGCTTTCCCAAGACTTCCCTAACACAAGGTTCCTTGACAGTATACATACTCACTTCTGTTTATAAGCCTGGCAATAATGCTATGCATAGAATAGACTGAAATATCCTTCAGTACTTTAACTATGTTGTCATGTGTAAGCTGTAAATGATGTTAGAGTTTTGTCTACATATACTATCTTACATGTATTATAAACCAACATACATCATAAACTGGTGTAAGAATAAACATATAAATATGTTTAATTGGGAAATTTGGCAATATCCACATTTCAAAATCTCTAACAAAAAACCCATAAAATTACTTAAAATAGTAATTAATATTTGCCTAACACGTACTATACATCATGAAAACCATTAACTGTTCCTTCATTTTTGTTTGATTTTGGTTTGGGTTATGGTTTTTTTTTTTTTTTTTTTGAGATGGGGTTTCATGTATCCCAGGCTGGCCTCAAATTTACCTCTTCCAGAGTGATAGGATAGCAAGCATGTACCACTATGCCAGGTTTATGTGGTAGTGAAGATTCAACACAAAGTTTCATACATGGTAGACAAACATTCTATTGAGCTGCATCTCCAGTGAAACCTTTACCTCTTAACCATTACAAAATAACTATAATACCATTTTATAGGCTATTAAATGTAGAGTACTGAAGACCATCTGCCCTTAGGGTCTGGTTGAACCCAAATTTGTAGGTGAGAAGTTCCCTGTACATGCTGCCCACCCTCTCTGCTCTTCTTCATCTTCCACAGGACTAAATTGTTCCTCCAGTGTGTCTTGTGTAGTGAGTGAGAACATAGCAGCTGTTCTCGGGAAATAGAAAGAGAATTGAAGGTTCAGTAGCTGATGACCAGGTCATGCTCACACAGTCAGAACAGAATTTTGAACACCATTCTCTAACTCAGTAGTTCTCAACATGTGGGGTGCAATTCCTTTGGTGGGGGATTGAACGACCCTTTCACAAGGCCATCCAAGTTCATTGGAAAACACAGATATTTACATTATGATTCATAACAGTAGTAAAATTACAGTTATGAAGTATCAAAGAAGTAATTTTATGGTTGGAGGTCACCACAACATGAGGAACTCTATTAAAGGGTTGCAGCATTAGGAAGGTTGAGTGTAGTGGGAGCCATTTGAGCCCTGCCCTGAAGCACTGCCCCTAGTGAGGTATCAGGTAACTGTTACACCTGCCTAGGACCTTGAGGTACATGCTCCTGGGGTGTGACTGCTGGGGAGGGGTGGACCCTTAAAACCTGGGATGCACGTATGCTGTCCTCTCTTTGCTACCTTGTGGTTTTGGATGCTGGGACTGACCAGGGCAGAGCTCACCAGAGAACAAAGTGTTAGACCGTGCCTCACCCTTCCAGGATTCTGTGACAAATTCCTTTATTCTGTCTTGTGAGTTAACCCCCGAATAAATTCCTTTGATCATTAATCAGACTCCATGGATTGCTAGCAATATAATCCCACTAGTTGAGAACTACTGCCCTAACTGGATTCTTATTTTCCTAATCTTTGAGGAGTCTTCATTCATCTCATGATGACAAAGATACATCTCTAGCCTGCCCTGGGTGGCCTTTTACAATTTTAAAAATCATTCTTTTGTCTGTTGCAAAATCCCTTTGGAGTTAAATTGCCTTGATATTACTCTTGCACTAAATTAAAAAAACTTATCAAACATAAGTATATTACAAGACCCTTTTATATTCCAGCTCACTCTAGAATCAGGGGCCACCTCACACATAATTTCCAAATGAGTAAAAATATTTCTACATTTTATTTAAATTGTCATTTCCCAAACCACTTTCTTTTTTTCTTCTGTTGTACATACTTACCCAGAATATCTGTGACCCACCTCAGACCCTGCCTAAATGTCTTCCATACTTCCTGACTTGGAATCTTAGTTTCAAAACTGTGTCTTCTTTCTCCTTTCCCGACCACCAATTACATTCCCCTTTGTTGAAAGATTCTCTCATGTACTTAGAGAAAAAAACCCAGAGCTCCTCATGGAATCCATGTTAATATCTTACTTGTCAGCAATATTTCCACTGGAGATGATAATTTTCACTGTTTCTGATGATGAAATTCAGGCCCTAAAGGATGCCTCTGTGAGGCTGACTTATGGGAGCATGACCTCCTGGCAGATCCAACATAGCACATGACTGTCCCCTCCTCCTCTCCAAACTGCATTTGGCCTTCTTTCAAGAGTGCTTGGAACAGAAGGGCAGTGATGTATAAAAGGCCTAAGGTCACCATGTTCCATTTCATGTCACTGCTTTATGAGCTGTATCTAAAATTATGAGATTCAAAATGTAAAATTCTCTTCTTACAAACACTTTCCAGGATGAATGGCAAATATTTATGAAGTGAAGATGACATTGTCAAAACCTTTTATAATGTCAAGGACAGAACTGGCAAGCAACCCCATTGCCAGCATGTATATAAAAGGTCATTCATGGTATATGTGTTTATTGGCAAAGCTTTCCCCAGTGCTAAATTTACTTCTATTCATTTAAAAACAATGTATGGTATCTTTACTATGAGCAATCTAGAGAGCTATCTAGCGCCTGGGGACTTAATGATGAACAAAACGAGTCTTTGCTGTCACGGTGCTCAGCAAGGGAAACGACCCATGAGCAAAGGCATAACCAGTAACTGTTCAAGCTGCAGTCCTGTGAGTTCGTCTCGCACTGTTTTCCAAGCCAGTCTTTGGCTCAGTTTCTTTTGAAGAATATAATCTTACCTTCTTTCTTAGGGGATTTGTTCTGTTAGCCTCTTAGGTATTAACATCATCCATGCGTAGTTTTTTGATCACCACAGAATGAGAAAGTTAAGTAAAAAAATCCATAAAATTTTAAATATCAAAATTCCTATTGTCTATTTATATAAAATCATCAGTGTGAGTCGTTTTTGAGATGTAAAATTTAAAAAGCAAAGTTCCCGTTGTCTATGTATACGAATAACCTGTTTAAAAACGTTTTCCAGACATTGCATTTTCAGTTGGCCTGTGACTGCTGTGTTCTCACTCCCTTGCCTGCCTTTCTTACCTTTTCCTGGCTGCTGCATTAAACATCTGCTTCTTACAGGATGACCAAGAATATTGGTGATGATGGAGGTGGCGATGACAACACTTTCAACTTCAGCTGGAAGGTATTCTGCAGCTGGGACTATCTGATTGGTAACCCCGAAACAGCCGACAACAAATTTAATTCAATCACAATGAACTTCAAGGTAAAGGCACAAACTCCCAAGGAGAATCATTGGAAAGCATTCCATGTGAATTATCAAATACCTTGACAGTTACGAGAAGAATGCTCTCATCATTGCTCCCTATCACGATTTGAACCCGAGTCTGATTATGATGGAAATATCCTGTGACCCATAACAGCTGTATTTTCTCTTCAGGACTTTTCTTCTCCAAATTTAGTAATAAAACACTGCTATTTGGTTGAAATAGGAGTTCACTGGTTATCAGTATCAGATTGTTCAAATAATGTGACAGTGCTCACTATCTAATTGCAGAAACATGTAGGCTCTGTATGCAAATTGATTCTAAAGCTTTACAACATAGCTTTAAAGCAATCCTGGGAGAGCAGGACACGGTTGCACAGACCTGTAACCCCAGCATTTGGGAGACTTGAGGCAGGAGGATCGGGAATTTAAGTACAGCCTCAGCTGCAAAGTAAGTTTGAAGCCAGAATAAGCTATATGAAATTGTTTCATAAAAACAAAGCCCTACATGCTGACTACTCCCCCACCATAAAAATTAAGTCCTGGAAGAGGGTATCTTTTAGAATGAAAATTCTCCTGGTGTTAGGATTTAAAAGGGTCTCATGTAGCCCAGGGCAGCCTCAAGCTTGCTATGCAGCAGATGCTAACCCCAGACTTACCCATCCTCCTGCCTTTACCAATTCACTTACTGTCCTTGTCTGTCACTATTCAGCTACTTTACGGACATTCAGATTTAGTTTACACTTTTGTTTCTTCTTTTTCTCAGTTCATGATCTTTTTCACAGCTGTGTTTCTCTTGCATTGTATTTTACCTGACTGCAGGAAGCCATCATAGAAGAAAGAGCAGCCCAGGTGGAGGAGAACATCCACCTCATCAGATTCCTGAGGTTTCTTGCTAACTTCTTCGTGTTCCTAACACTTGGTGCAAGTGGATACCTCATCTTTTGGGCTGTGAAGCGATCCCAAGAATTTGCACAGCAAGATCCTGACACCCTTGGGTGGTGGGAAAAAAATGAAGTTCGTCTCTGCATGCTTTTAAAATGCTTAGAAACTCATACTTGCTCTTTTGTGGGTTGTGTTTCTGCAGTTGAACTCAAGACAAGGCTGCTTCCTATCTGGTGCTCCATTCTACTCTCCTGCTTACCTACCACACTGCATATTTCCCACTGTTTTCCTGTTCTGTTTCCAAATTGGTGTTGTTGGATTTTCAGGTCTAGGAAAAGATGCAAAGTTAGAATGGGAAGAGAGAAGAGAATGTTCTAGAGAAGGAAGCATGGGTGTTAGGAGATGGTGGTATGACAGGCAAAGTTAGGAAAACCAGACTGACAGCTTTGACATTTTATTTCGACTCTAAGACTCTTCCTATAACCCAATATTGCTTTCTCTGAAGATGTCACCTCTACAACTGAAAGGCCAGACTCCTGATTAGTTTGTCCTTAGTTCCTATACCTGTCTTATAAGAAGCACTCACTTTGCCTGCTTAATTTTGTATTTCCGGGCTTTTCATAAGAATCTTAGTGACATATCTCCATCTCTTTCTTGCCAAAGCCTTTGTTCCCCAACTATTCAAGTGAGGAGGAAGGCAAGCTCATGGCCAGATTTGCCTGCAGAGAGTCTGCCCAGTTAGTGTGTAGGAGAGAGGTGATTAGAGCACATGTTTTGAATCGGTAAATCATTGGTCCTAAGTTATTACTAGAGCCTGGTCACTTTTATAAAATGTTTTTGTGTACATCAATTTCAACTTGGGCATTTTCAAAGCATGTGCAGACTTATGCTATGAGATGTTTAGGGATCCCAGATGGAAACTTCTGCAAAACTCTGTATTTGGAAGAATTTTGAGATGACTTCATAAATGTATGATTTCTTAGAAATATCTTGGCTGGCAAGTGATTCAGTAGAAATATAAAAAAACACCTCTACATCAAAACAGTATAAAAACTTCAGAAGTGATAAAAGCAGAAATGTATCACACATTTAGAGATAACAACATCACAATTGTTCCATGGAAACCTGTAAAGTGGCAATTATTAAATAGAGGGATTTTTTTGCCTTAACAATAACAGCACAAAGCATTTATCAAGTTTGTTTTCAAAATACTCTCATAATGTTGATAGCAAGTATAAGAAAAATGTTCATTCAGCTTTGGTCCATAGCACAATGGTCCTATTTTAGTATAAATGAATCATATTAAATGATGAATGGTTGCTTATCATTAACTACTTCCTATCACTCAGGAGGCTGAGACAGAAAGTTAATGAGTTTGAAGCCACCTGGACTACTCAGTGAATTCTAGGTCAGCCTACCTCAATATCCTGAAAGGAATAACTCTCTGAATGGACTTAATATCTGTTTTGGAGTAACTCTGAGCTCTAGATATAAATGAAGATAATAACGGAGACTCAAAAATAACTCCACATGTCTACTGAAACAAAAGTTAAATTGTCTTTGTGTATAGTTGTACAGATAATGCCAAATTTTTAGGTTCAGTTGAGAATATTTCATGCTGATTTTATATCATGTGGAGTATATAGCTATTACATTCTAAATATATTCTGGTAGTTCTAATCATTCAAAATATGGACTATACAGGGGGGAATAAGAAAATGTGCAGTGCTGACAGTTTGCGCCAAGTATTTGGAGAATAAGTCGCAAGAGTAACTTCCAGGCTTTTCTTCCTCTTTACCTCATTTTCAAAGTGCTACGCATCAGCATATCATAATCAGTAGCCACGTAGAACAGTGTGTTCTCTGGGCAGAGAGATATAAATTGTGCACTCACAATACCAAGGAAACATTATGGGCACATCCGCAAGCTCATATATATAGCTTGTAAATATGAGTTGAATATTGTCTTGGTTGTTTTATTGAGACCACACACTAAAAGTGCATGACATAGTCTTGCCTTTATAAAGTATCAAAGGAACCTAGCTGAAAATCTTCCCAGCTTCTGGCGAGAAGCAGTAATAACCGAAACACCCTGATTCCCGTGTCTCCTTGTAGATGAACATGGTTATGTCCCTCCTGGGGATGTTCTGTCCCACACTCTTTGACTTATTTGCTGAACTGGAAGATTATCATCCTCTCATTGCTCTGAAGTGGCTCCTGGGGCGCATTTTTGCTCTTCTTCTAGGCAACTTGTATGTGTTTATTCTTGCATTGATGGATGAGATTAACAACAAGGTGAGCCTTGTGTCTAGATGGTCCTTGTCATCAGCATGTTAATTTCCCAGTTTGGGGATGACCAGAAATGCCTTTGAAACTGTGCTGTGTTATTTTCTTCCCCCTGCCCTCCCTTTTTGATTTCTAGATTGAAGAGGAGAAGCATGTAAAGGCCAATATTACCCTGTGGGAAGCCAACATGATTAAGGCTTACAATGAATCCCTCTCTGGGAACACCACAGGACCACCCTTTTTCGTTCATCCTGCAGATGTACCTCGAGGACCCTGTTGGGAAACAATGGTGGGACAGGTAACATTAGGAAGAAAAGTAGATGTTGTTAGTAGGCCAAGGGGGCTGAATATTTCTTCTAAACTGGGGCCTTTTTGGTCTTTGTTTATTAATAAAAATAGAGATAGTTTATTGAATATTTAGCATTTGCTGGCTCTGGATTTCATATGTATTAACTCAGGGAGACTTCACATCTATCCCCTGAGATAAACACATTTTCTTCTTGCAGCACATTTATAGCTGTACATAAAAGGATAGCTTACAATCATGTGAAGAGATTCATGCCACCTATTATATTCTAACAAAGCACCCAAATTTAGATACAGACTCAAATAGTGTTTATGTGGAACTCTACTTAGTTGTTTGTTTTTATAAAAAAGGCTCTGGTGGTTTTATAATATCAGTTTTTATCTAATAATTTTCCCTTAAGCCTTAAAAATGCTATTTTAAGTTAGTTGTTTTTATAATGGTTATGTAAATGACCCTAGCCTAACTACTAGTGATATTTTGCCAGATAAAAGAATAAGGTCTTATTGCTTACTGTCTAATAAAGGGAAATAAAACCAACCAAACAAAAACAAGCAGAGATGCTGTTTCAGAGTCTCCATCTTCTGTACAGATTCTGTTTATGTTTTGGAAGCTTGTAATTTTATCTCATTGGAGAAAACACTCTTATTTATTTTTATTTATTTATGTATTTATTTTGGTTTTTCGAGACAGGGTTTCTCTGTGTAGCTTTGAGCCTTTCCTGGAACTCACTCTGTAACCCAGACTGGCCTTAAACTCATAGAGATCTGCCTGCCTCCGCCTCCCGAGTGCTGGTATTAAAGGCGTGTGCCACCACTGCCCGGCTTGAGAAAACACTCTTCATGAGCATGCAACCTTGGTTCATCAAGTAAAGAAAAATTCAAGTGTATTTCAGTGTTTCTAGAACACAGCAGTGCAGCTGTATCAGTCACACAGTCTCTGTGAATTAACTGAATGGATTTTAAAATTATATTTTCTGTAGGATGAGAATATTAGCACAAGTCTTACTGAAGTAATGCAATGTAAGCAAATGTGGACTCAAAAAGACAGCTTCACTCTCAATCTGAGGTTCATGAGGCTAAGTCAATTGTGATTTCAGTTATGGGAGGAAAAAGTACACTAGAATTATATGACTGAAGATGGAATAGAGAATGAATAGTCTAATAAAATATTTTGCTTTATTTACTTTTTAAGCATTTGAGGATCAGATAAATTCCTTTCTTAGTGCGTGCTGCTAGATTTTCAGGCCTTCATATATCATACATGCTTCTAGAAACATAAACTAAAGCTTGTCTGCAAACGAGAGATACTGTGGGTGTGGTAGGTAGAACAAGGGCCCTCCAAGTTGTTCACAAGCTAACTCTTGGAACCTGTAAATCTGTTGCCTTACTTGGCAAAACAGACTTTACAGATGCAGGGGCTTAGCAGGATGAGTGACCTTGAACTACGTTGAGTGAGCCTAATACAGTTACAGGAGGTCTCTCTGTAAGAGAGACATGACACGGTGCCAGAGTCAGAAAACCGAGATATGACACAGGAAGCAGAGGTTGGAGCGCTGTGCTTTAGAGATGGAGGAAGGGCAACGGCTGAAGGAGCATGGACAAGCTCCAGGGGTCAGAAAGTTAGGGAAGCAATTCTCCCCATGTCTCCACTTTGATTTTAGATTTCTGACCTCCAGAACCATGAGAAAATAGTCGTATTATTTTAATCTACGAAGTTTGTGACAGTTTGTTCTACCAGAAGCAGACAGTCACTTGTGGGTGACCATTTCAGTGCTCGTTGTGAAGTCTGTTCTGATGGGCTGTTTCTTCACACCTAACCTATCCCCTCAATCTGCAGTCCAGCATTTGAGAACGGAAACCCTTAGAATGCACAATTGGCAAACTGGCAGTTTAAGATTGAGATGTTCTCTCTGGAATGTGCTAGAAAGTCTATCCTTTGACAGGCAAACACCTGCTGAGCAGGATCAGTAGAATTAACTGTAATGAGTAAGCTATGGGATGGCCATTTCTGAGGCGAGGAGACAGATTAATTAGACATTACGTATCATTCTAAGAGAAATTTATATTCCTGATGCAGAAGATTCTGCCGAAGTCCTCCATCATGTGGACTCAAATAACACAAAAACCATGTATTTAGTTCTTCCTCTCTAAGGCCCCAGAACAGGCCGTGTGTCTCAGAACATGCTGTGTGCTGTTTTCTGAATTCCATCTGTCGTGAGTTTCCCATTTCATCATTGTTCCTTACGGCCATTCTCTCCCTCCTTCTGTAAATATTCTGTTAAGAGACACTATCCCTTCCTCTGCTGTCTCCGTTGACTTTCTCATAAGTGTTTGATACACCTTGAAAGAAAGAAAGAAAGGCAGAAAAGAAGGGAAATATAGAATGCTGCCTAGGTCGATGGAAAGTGGGAGAGTGAAGATAACTTGGTGGATACGCCAGCTTTGAGTGCTGGTGAGCACTGGCCCTTGTGATATCAGCATTTCCATCCTTGTAGCTGAATCATTTCCATCCTTTAAAGCCACTTAAAAATGAAGAAATAGTAAAGGCAGCTGAGTTTATGTAATTATGAAGATGTACCCTAACAGTTCATGATTCTGTGGAACATTCCAGGTGTTTGCTCTTCCTTTCCATGAATGCCTTCTACTTTTTTCCCTTTCCATGATACAGTGGCACTCAAAGCTCTCTTGATTCTTTAAAAAAAAAAGAAAGAAAACCAACAGAAACAACGAACAACAACAAAAGAACAAAACCAAAAAATCCAACCAAACTAATAAACAAACAAACAAATAAATAAACAAACTGGCTTTCCTTTCAGCTCTGCAATGTTTCTCAAATAGTAATTTTTTATCTACAGTGGTATTTGAAAGACAGACAACAGAACCTTTCCTGTGAGCTAAGTAGGCATGTGAAGCTATGGCTGATACTGTGTTTTGAAGAAGAATAAAAAGCCATGTGCTGAGGACCACAATGAGGATGGCTAACACTAACTGCCATCTAATGTGTCAAACGTTAACTCCTTGAAATTTTAAGCCACCCCTGTGAGATCCACTCAAGCCTTATCATTCTATAAGTGAGAGGACCAAGAGACAGACTTGCTCAACACTTTGTGACAGGAGCTGAATTTCACCTACACGGTGGGATTACAGAGCTTACATCTTTGTTCAGTGCTGAACTGAACGTGAAACACAGTTATCACTGGGCACAGCCTCTGGGCTTCTGCATGCATGTGCCCCTTCATGCTCTCTGCATGCTTATACCCCTTTCTGCTGTCCTTACAGACTGTTTTGCCTTGACCATTTGGCGACTCTTGGGTTTACAGACCAAAGCTGTCCAGGCATTTCAACTAAATGTCCTGGGGTAGGGTTGTGAGGTGTGAGATGCTCCTCAGGAGGTTTTTTTTTTTTGGTTTTTCGAGACAGGGTTTCTCTGTGTAGCTTTGCGCCTTTCCTGGAACTCACTTGGTAGCCCAGGCTGGCCTCGAACTCACAGCGATCCGCCTGGCTCTGCCTCCCGAGTGCTGGGATTAAAGGCGTGCGCCACCACCGCCCGGCTCCTCAGGAGGTTTTGTCCAGGGTGTCAGGAACTGAGCCTGGAGGATGTTCCTGAGGTAGCTGAGTCACGATTTCAGGGGATTCTCTTTTCTCCATAGCAGCACACCTATTCTGCAAACTGTGAATTGATACTTAACAATTTATACTACCATGTTCACATCCTCCTTGTGGATTTTATGTAAAATGTCATACCTTGGGAAAGAAAAACATTTCAGATATTGAGCAATGGCCCTTACTTAGGGAGACCTGAGGGACTTTCTAAGCACTCTGAAATTTTCCCTTCCCAGGAAATCTTCCCAGACTATCTGAGGAAACTAAAAAATAACCTCCCCAACCTACCTCTAGATCAGGGTCTTCACGTTGATCAGGGAATAAAAGGAGAATGAGAACATGGAAGAGAAAGATTTCATTCCAGAATAACCAGGAGTTACTAGCATGTATTTATTCACTCCATATTTACTTAATGTCTGATACATACCCAGAATTGTTGTATACTAGAGATATAAAGGGATTGAAAGATGGATCTGTTTTGTGAAGATTACAACCTATTTAATAGAGAGGGAGGCAAAGCCATTAACAATATAATTATAAAAAGATTTCAAATATACGTTGGGAATTAGAGATAAAATGCATGGAATCTGAGTGCTTTTTTTTTTTTTTTTAGTGCTTATCTGTACAAGTGAGCAAAGGAAACTTGCCTCAGTCAATGCTATGACAATGTTTGTCAGTTGGTACAAACTGAGTTGGGAAGTGAGTTAGGTGAGGTTGGTAAAGGAAAACTATATGCAGGGCTGGGTACCCTGAAAAAATGTGGAGTTTGATGGTCTGAAAGAAGGCCAATAAGACTGAAAAGAAAAAAAAAACAAAGGAGGAATAATACAAGAATAACACAGAATGCTGTATGCAGAGCCCCCTACGAGGATGAGGAACTACTTGCCCCAGTGAGGAGAGGTTTTTTTGTTTTTTGTTTTTTTGTGTTTTGTTTTGTTTTGGTTTTTCGAGACAGGGTTTCTCTGTGTAGCTTTGGAGCCTGTTTAAAACACCTATGGGCACAGGCTTTCTTCCTTTTCTGTCATTTTTTGTTTATTCCTCTGCTTTGAGGTAAAAATGTCCTGCTGCTTACAGGCCTTTGTCATGGATTACTTTGCAAGGGAATTCATGCTAAAATAATTTAAAAGTACATATTAAGCCTTCAATATTCTTTTGTTTTTATTCTACTTACATTATAGTTCACTTATTCCTCAGGTAGTTAATGTATATATTTTATTTTAATATATTATAAAATAAATATTAGTTTTTAATATTTCATATGGTACTCAGACATGGTAAGGTGGCTCATGATGCCAGGAATTTAGGAGGCTCAGCTCTGGGAAGCATGCAGCTGGAAATTCACTGCTGACTCTTTGTCAAATGCCTACTTGCCCTATGAGACAATGTACT